GTATTCTGGTCCCACATGCATATTTGACCATACATCTTACATCACAGCTTCACAAGGGTTTAAGAACTTACATGAAAGAGCTAGATTCTTCTGCCCCATCAAAGCTACAGTTCTACATGCAGACTTCTGTATTTATAGTTTCTTTGGCACAGGGAAAAGACCAGCCAATATTCACATCACAATTTTTTTTTGTTATTATGCCATTAATTAATAGGTAATAGCACACACATTGTTTGAAATGCAAGAAACAGTTAATTAACACTTGAGAACTATAACCTAAAATGATAATTACATTGATGATCTCAACCTTAGAGGTGTTCTTACATGCTGTTGTTTAACCAGATACCACAGCTCAGTAACACTCATCTTCTCCCTTAGAAGTCATGAAGAGGACCTTAGCTTTCATATGTTCAAATTAGAACAGGCAAAGTGCAAGATTTTATGGACTTTTGCTTGAAATTGGTAGGTGTAATTAAGATTATTAACATAAGAATGTCAGATGCTGGTTGTGCTTATTGGCTCAAGTTTAAGGCTAACAGATCTGACTTGACTAAGCAATGTCTAATTATTTCGAGGCTAAATGTGGACTTTCATGCCTAATTTTCATAAAAAACTCAAAGCTGAATTCTTCTAATGTTTAGTGGCACATTTTGAACATCAACCCAACAGAATAATCAATGACTTTTGATGAGATACACCACCCAGTAGTGGTGCAACAAACAACATCCATTTGTATGACATTCAAGGGGATGTACAGTACTCCTCTCCCTTTTATTTTCTATCTGTCCCTTTTATTTTCTATCTGTCTTAGGTCAGGTGAGACTTTTTTTTTTTTTTTTTCCCAAGAATACATGGCATGGCCCAGATCTACAATTCTGTGGTTACCAAAACACAGGAGCACAGTTGCATTTTCAATTGTATGTTTCTGTGGTTCAGTTTATGCTGTGAAAAATGATGGAATAATTAAAACAAGAAAATTAATATGATTTCCTCTAACATTCAACCTTTACAAATGCCAAATTTGGGAAAATCTAAAGAAGAAGCTATTTCCATAGACTAAAGGCACTTAGATCCATTAGTATCTACTTCTAGTCTACTTCATGCCCCTTGAGCATTTAGTGTTAATATTTTGTAAAGATATTGACCTTCTGACAAAGACAAGGGCAGCTTAATGACTCAGCTCACTCAGAGAGACAGTCAAGGAGGCTGAAGAGAGTAACATTTATCAGAGCTGTCATTGTTAGGCTGGGTCAAAGGCAATCCTTTTAACCAGAAGCTATCACATAAAATAATCTATTAACTCATACTCAGTAGATTTCATTACAGCAAGATTTGGAGGAAAACCATTTCCCAACAATCAGTTAAATCAAACTTCGCGAGATTAGCCAATAATAAATGAATTTATTTACATAGTAAATATAGTATTTAAACAATGCTTTCCTCTTTTTCTTATCATCAAATCAGTGTTTTACTGAAATCCACTTATTAAAAAAAAAAAACCTTACAGGAAAAATTAATACAATTTGTGTCCTGTAGTTTTCTGACTTCAGTGGGGACAAAAAGTCTTATAATCAAAGCCAGAGGCACAGTAAAAGCTGAACTACTCCTATAGCTCCTCTCTGAGGTCATACCACTTTGTATTGAGAAAACCAATTACATAAAGGATCATTGTCCTGGCAAACATCGGTTTGTATAAGCTGTTTATGATGTTTATATATTATATTTATATGTTTATATGATAATTTTATTTCATTTGAATAAGCTGTATTTGCATAAGCGTAAAATATATTTCTCCATAATTACTGTATGGAATTCTTTAAGTCCTGGAAGTCTCAGTTTGTACCATCTCAGGAAACTTCTTGGGATACTGCAGGAGCCAGCAAGGGGAGATAACTCTGTCGGACCTCACATTTACAAACAGGGAAGGGGAAGGCTGGGTTCAGTCATGGCTGTAGTGTCTATGAGATGGTGTTCAGGATCCCGAAAAGAGGGAACAAGGCAAAGGGCAAGATCATAACCACTCCTTCAAGAAAGTGCATTTTGGCCTCTTGAGGCATCATCTTGGAAGAATTCCATGGGAGACGGCCCTGGAGAGAAGTGTCTAGGATCTGATTGATTTTTCAGGAATCAACTTTTCCAAGCTCAAAAATCTCCACTTACAGGAAATCAAGCAATGACAGGATGAGCTCCTGACAAAACTTTGCCATAAAAAGAAAGCACACATGAAGTGGAAGCAAAGACAAGTGAACAAGAGACACTGTCTGAGGTGTGGGGATGGGTTCAAAAAGACAAAGCCAATTTGGAGTTGATTCTGGCAAGATATGTGAAGGGCAACGAAAAGGGCTTCTACAGGTCTATGAACAGCAGAAGACAAGGGAAAACAGGGGCCTAGTGCTGAATGGGGCAGGCATGAGATCCAGTAGCAAAGGACAAGGAAGAGGCAGAGCTACTCAATAGCTCTTCCATCTCAATCTTTAGTGGAAAGACTGGTCTTTAGAAATCTAGACCCATGGGAAAGACTTACATGGGAGGAAGGAAGATATACCTTCCAAGGAGGAGGATCAGGTTAGGGAACATTTAAACAAACTGGACATACAAGTCTATGGGACACAACAATATGTGCCCACAAGGAGTTGTATGTGCTGAAGAAGCTGCTGATGTCATTGTAAGGTCACTCTTGATAATCTTTGAAAAGTCACAGTGACTGGGGGAGGTTCCAAGGACTGGAAGAAAGTAATTGTCTTTAAAAAGGTTAAAAAAGGAGATCCAAGGAACTACCTAGGCTGGTCAGACCAGCCTCATCTCAATCCCTAGGAGGTTGAGAGAGCAAATAATTCTGGAAAACACCTACAGATGTTAGGGACAAGACTGTGATTGGAAGTAGTCAGCATGTATTAATAAAGAGAAGACTATGCCTGCCCAACCTGACAGCCTTCTACAAAGAGATGACTGGCTTAGTGGACAAGGGGAGAGCACTGGCAGAGAGCACAAGAGAGAACTTGTTGATCTTGGTTTTGGCAAGTCTTTCAATACTGTCTCCTGTAACATTCTTACTGATTAAGTACAAGCTACATAAATGGACAGTGAAACTGAAAACTGACTGAACTGTCAAGCTCAAACAGTTGTGATCAGTGCTAGGAAGCCCAGCTGGAAGGAAGCCCGTTCTCTGTAATGTACACTAAGGGTTCATACTGGCTCCAATACTATTTAAAGTCTTGATTAATTAGCTGAACAATGGGGCAGAGTGTTCCCTCGGCAATTTTACAAACAATCCAAACTTGGGAGGAATAGCTGATATGCCAGAGAATCGTGCTGCCATTTAGAGGGTGAGCAATGCATCTTTGCAGAAATGAAGACCGAGAGCCTCCCGGATGACATTAACAAGAGTGTCTGCCACCAACAGGTCAAGTAATGTAGTAATGTGTTTATTATTCCCATTTATTTAGAACTGGTAATGCCACACCTGCAGTGTTATGTGCACCCCTGGGCTCCTTGGTACAATAAAGCAATGGGCATACTGGAGCAAGTCCAGAAAATTGCTACACAGATGAATAAGGGATTATAGTATTTGTCATATGAGGAGAGGCTGAGAGAGACGAAAATGTTTAGCTCAAAGGAAAGATGTATTTTTTCTGCTGTCACCGCTGAGCAGTTGGGAGGAGTGCATGTGGCCCTGTTTTCTACAAGTCTCATCAAGCCGATGCCATGTAAATGACGTATTGCTCTTAGAGCAATTTAAATGAACAGAGCCACACCTTGTTTCCTGGTGATCAGATCTATGATCTAAGTCTAGCTCATGAAACTGATCCTTGGCAGGGTTTCTTTAGTTATCACATCAGCAGCTGTGGAATGATAAAATATCTATATGAATTTTTAGATTTTAGTCCACCCACTCCTTCTATACCAAGATTTGCAGTTTTCACTCTTAGCTGAATTCAATAAATATGGACCAAAATCTTCTTTGCTTTCTTTTTGATTTGTCCTCAGAGATTTTGCACTGTCAGCCACCCTGTGGTGCTCTTCATGGTGACTCCTATATTTTCACGCACACTCATATAATCCTTACAAACTCCAGAGCCTCATCATGAGGCCTCCACAGAAAGTGACAGGTTCAGGTTTGAACAATTGCAAAATCAAAAGGTAAGTGGATTCAGGAGTTACTGCACAGAGGACTGCTTTAGCTTCTGGGCTACTATGTAAAAGTTGATGACTGTACCATGGCTATCACCACTAACGTGTTTTTGAATGAAATTAAATGTGACTGCTCACTGTGGGTCTACTGACAGCCTCAGCTTTTGTAATGAACTGGGCAGACTTGGACTTGGTGTCACTTAATCTTTAGATTTCAAATGGCCTGAAGCAACACACAGATGACCATATACCAAGACTTACCATAGGGTTTTGAGCCTTTTTAAAAGAGCTCTGGACAGAAGATAAAGTGCCTACAATATTTCAGTTACCTCACTGATTTAAATGAGTGTACATGGATTTATTTTTCGCAAGTGTAAAACAGTCCAGGTTCCAGTTTTGTGTCATCTTATATCTTCCCTCAAGTGCTGTAAAGTGTAAAATTAACAAATTTAAGAGCTAGAACTTTATTTTGAAGTAGGTGAGAAATATTAAATATACATTATTGCTAGTTAAAAGAAGTAATTGGGAAACTGCTCATGTTTACAGACATCAGTAATTGGCACAATCAGGACTACTTCCAAGCACACTCACTCTGATCCATGAGTCACTGAATATCATTCCACTGTCAGTTTTATATCTACAGTTTTATATATATATAGCTTATTCCTCTATGATTGTACATTGTTCTTTTCCTTCAAAAGGGAATTATATTCAAACATTGCAATATATTCAAAATCAAAAATGGTATTTGTTTCATGGTTAGAAATGTTTATAATTTCTTACTTTATTTACATTTGACCCTTTTTCTGCATTAGGTCTTGGAAATTGTTGAGAAGTTTCCTGCAGCCTGAAATGACAGAAAGCCCTCTTTTATACCCAGAGAATATTGCTTAATAAGTATTAATCTGAAGAAATACATTGCACGGTAAAGCTTTTGACAGACTACCAACCTTCTGAATGCCCAGAGAACATTTAATTTTTGTCTGATCACAAGCACCTAATGTCACTGCACATGCTACAATGGAAACTCTAAGACAAATACAAAGCTTTGGCATCTGTGTTACCCGTACGTATCCCGTAGCATTGGGTGTGGTGTTCACTGCTCTTCTAGTTTCTTGCTGCTCATCTCTGACCATAAGAGCTCGTCCACTTGTTCCTAATTCACCTTTTCTTTCTATCTGGAATGCTCCTACAGAACTTTGTACTGAAAGGACAGGAGTGCAGCTGGACATGAATTTTTTTCCTTTCATTGGAAGCACGCTGAAGACATCCATCGGGCAAAATATCACACTTTTCTATCCAGACAGGCTTGGCTACTACCCTTACAAAAATGAAGTCACGGGAGAGGCATTCAATGGAGGACTCCCTCAACTCTCGCCGCTGGAGAATCATTTAAAAAAAGCCAAAGAGGACATCCAGTTCTACATTCCTTCGGATGAACAGCTTGGATTGGCTGTCATTGACTGGGAAAACTGGAGACCTGTGTGGATAAGGAACTGGGGATCAAAAGACATTTATAGACAGGAATCCATTGAACTGGTTCAGCAGAGAGACCTCAGTCTATCTGAAGCTGATGCCAGAACTATAGCTAAAATGGAATTTGAAGCTGCAGCAAAATCATTCATGTTGGAAACTTTGAAGCTGGGCATAGAAATGAAGCCAAATCGTCTGTGGGGATATTACCTTTATCCAGACTGTTATAACTACGATTACAAACAAAACCCACATAATTATACAGGAACCTGTTTAGATATTGAAATAGAAAGAAATAATGAGCTTAATTGGTTATGGAAGGAAAGCACAGCACTTTATCCATCTGTCTATCTAGAGACAGCTTTAAGATCCTCCAGAAATGCCCAGCTCTTTGTTCGCAACAGAGTTCAAGAAGCCATTAGAACTTCCTATGTCTCTAATTCTACTCATCCTCTTCCAGTTTTTGTATATACACGTCCAGTATTCACAGATGTCTATGAGGAATATCTCTCTGAGGTGAGTGAAGCTAGACCCTAAATATTTTAAATTTATGTGGAAAGAAATTACCAGGTGACACTTATTGAGCAAATATGCTAACTTGTATCAGAAGAAGGTGTGCAATTTTATATAAAAAATTAAATTAATTCACCAAAGAAATTTGATCAGTCAGAACACTGAGGTCTATTTTCAAACCTTTCTCATTATATTTATCAAATTAGTGTTTTATTCTCTGAGCTGTCCTCACATGTAACAAAATATTACAAAGCTAGAAAGCATATTTAGTACATTAAGTCAAAGGAAAGAAATATGGGTAACCTCTTCCAAAGAGAATTACTAAAATTGAGGTGACCTAATGCCTGCATTTTAGGTTATAAGGAAAAAAATACAATAAACGGAGTCTTTCTTTCCCTAAAAAGTGTTTAAAAGCTAGTTAGAAAATCCTGTCCTTAGTTGTACTTGAGTAGCTTTTAAAATGGTATTTCAGCATCTCACGGGTTAGTTAAGGTTAGCCTCTGATTAAGGTCCAATCATCTGATTGCAGTTCTAGCTATGCTTTTCCATTCACATTTTTATAGGCACCCACCCCGTCAGAGATGTGATCAATCTGGAGAATATCTTCCTGGTGTTCCAGGACATGAGGAAGGGGAAGTCAGAGGCTATGGTCCTGCTGATGGCATTGTAGCTGGTGTCATTTCGTATTCTCAATAGAGCATCATCAGGCATTGCCCCCAGCTCTGTGGATAGTTTCAGGGAGCAAGGGGTAATGTCCTGCTGGGACATAATAATTTAATTCCTATAATCTTTACATTAATCTTTTTCTTGTGTTGTACCCCCACAGTAAGTTGTTTTCTCATTGTTCTTTTCATTACAACAGTCCTCTCCCATCCAGATAGGCTTCAACATTTTGCTAGGACTGTGTTAAAAGCTGACCCTTAAAGGGGAACTGAAAAGAAAGAAATTTCTCCAATCAATATCTGTAAAAGGCCAGAGCCATTCTCTGGAGAAGAGAGATTCCTGTTGGTGAAAGCTCTTTCTCTTGCTACTTCTCTGTTTTAGCACTTCCCGGTTACTGGAATTGAGTTTAAAAAACCAAAAAAACAAACAAACAAAAAAACCCCAACCAAACAAACAAAAAGCTGTGCTTTCCACATCTTCTTCCCACAACATTACTGAAACCCACTGCTACCAACTCTGAGCAGCCAGGAGGCGATGCAGAAAAATTAACCTTGGAATGGTTGGAGGAGTGTATGTCATATGCCTAACCACTGGCTCAGTTTTACAGCCTTGTTTTTCTAACAGATAACATATATAAACTGGATATAGCTGGCAACGTTTTCTGGCATCACTTGTGTAATCCAATCCCAGAATAAAATTGTGCAGTTGAGAGTAAAACATTTGCACCACGTATAATTCCTTACTGTCTTCAAAATAGTTATTTTGGAGATGTAATTTCTATATGCATTATACTTTTTGCCCTTGTGTTATAGATTACTTACATTAGCATGATTCTTTGCCCATTTTCCCTCAGGATGACCTGGTAAATACCATTGGAGAATCTGCTGCACTGGGTGCTTCTGGAATTGTGATGTGGGGTGATATGAATTTAACACAAAATAAGGTATGCCAGATCAATTATTACACGACATTTTTAAGGAGTAATAAAGTGAAAAGGATACGAAGCATTACGATTACTTACATCGTATCTTCTGTTTTTAAAATGATGATTCCATATTGCCAGCAGCCTTCTGTAGTCAAAACCCAAGCACATCTGAGGCTTATGAAGATCATCATTGACTACACAGAACAGGAGTTCAGTCTTTCAAAGGATCAATGCTGTTGTGCCTGAGTAACTAGACAAACCATCATGATAACTGCAGGCAAGTTAGCACTTGTTTAATTAATAAAAATAAAGAATTACTATATATTCTTTACATTTCAGTCATGAGATAAAGAAAAAATTACTTGGGCTTGCCCAGAACAATTTTTAAAAGATCCTTCTGCTTTTTGAAGAGGTGCACTTGGCAGTAATATTTAGAGCACTAGGAGGAGTCAGTCTGTAAAATTTCAGCCCTAGCCTGTTCTTTGTGTTGTAAGTAATACTTAATTTAATTGTATGAAAGATTTGAGTCAGAACAGGAAAAAATCTTTATTTTAGAAAGGGGAAACACATAGTTTGAGAAACATTGTTACAAGGATATTCTCATAAATCTTTCTAGCTAGATGGTTCGTAACCAGGCAAGTTAGATATAATGAACTGGGAAGACTCTAGTGAAGTTTTTTGTATGCAAAGAACTGAAACTTCAGCCCTGCCACACCTCCTGTTACTGAAAGCATGACCAAATAAACCTCCACAGCTCTGTAAGAGTCTTATTCCCCAAAGCATTCCACTTCGACTCTTTTGTATGTGCCTGCCCCTGAGAAAGGATATCAGGTTGCACCTGGAAATTTTTTGCCCATTATCCCAATATCAGAACACAGATGAGCAGCAAGTTCTATTACCTGAATTTTGAGAATCCTGTGAGCAAAATGAACTTTCCACAGGCCAGTCAGACTATGCACTTGTGCATTAATTGTACCTGGTTTTTTTACAGCTTTCACAGTAATTAGCCCTTCAGAAACGAAATATTATTGTACTTCTGCATCAACCAAAATTTCTTGGAATTGTTTTTATATGCACCTAAAAGAAAAACAAAAATACCTACATATACCTCAGATTCACCAAAGTGATCTCCATAGGTATAGATATTACTTGAATCTACATCTGCTGTTCGGCAAACACCTTAAGGAGACACAGTGTTAGAAACGAAGAGAGTTCCCAAAACCTCTGGTTATTAAATTGTGCCAAGCATACACAGAATATATGCCAATTTCATAATCAGTTAGAATGATCTCTTAGTATACTTTCAGTTTGATCATCCAACCAAAATTCTTTCAATTCCAAAATGCCATGAAAGCTCTCTACCCTGCAGCCTAGCTATTCATGCCAGGAGAAAGCTGAAGTCTCACAGAGATGACTTGATAGAAAAAATATTTGTTCAGGCTGAAGAAGTGAGGTTTTTTCACTGGATCCCTTTGAACCATTCAAGACATAAAAAGGAACTTCAATCCTTTGTGAAACTTCTTCAAATGCATCTGAATCAAAAAACTACAAGAAATATAGAGATAAAATGAAAGCTTAAAGTTGTCTGCTTTCTGATATACATGTTTTTTGTAACATCTCCAGCAACTACACAAGGTAAATTTGCTGTGATCCTTGAATTTTATAACAGCTTCTCAGATAAACTTGCTTCCAACAACCAGTTATACTTATTATCAAAACCTCAGGAGAAACATTTATAGAGATACACTATAGTACTATTATTGGAATGACAGCATTTTAATGGTTTCCATACTAAACTATGGAGTGATGATGCTCTTTTCACAGAATACCTGTAGAATTCTGGACAACTACCTCAGAAGGACTTTGACCCCATACCTCATCAACGTCACAATGGCAGCCAGAATCTGTAGCCAAGTGTTATGCCAGGACTCTGGTGCTTGTGCACGGAAAAAATGGAATTCCAATGACTATCTTCACTTGAACTCTGAGAATATTGTAATCCAAATGACAAAGGATGGGAAATACACTCTACGAGGGCAACCATCATTTCAGGATCTGCAAACATTGATAGAAAAATTTGATTGCCACTGTTATGCAGGGCAAAGCTGTGAACCTAGAGCTGATATAAATGACATCCATTACCTCCATGCTTGCATTTCAGAAGATATTTGCATTCAGATATCCTCAAATTCCTTTTCTAACATAGAGGCCTCTGAAGAAAAGATCCTGTCTAACATAACTGCATTTTCATTTCCCTCTGAGAGTAAGGTGACATTATCTACACATCCTGAAATAGAAGATTTCCAATCTACCATTGGAAATAATACACTTAATATAACAACTGCAAAATATAACACTGTCACAGCTGCCAGTAGATACGATTTAGAAGCAAATGATACTCGCACTTTCAGTAGCTCTTCGTCCTATAAGATAAAAATGTTTAATTTGGTTTGCTTAATTGTACTTTTGAGAACCTTAATACTAATGACCCATGAAAGTGAGAATATTCTTCTCCCTGGCTATGTTTGAAATTCTAAAGGTTTTATTTACAAAACAAACAAACAAACAATTCCCTAAAGGTTTATGGTCTTATCTGTATCAGGTAATATTTCGTAATTCATAGATGACACTTCAGCTTGAATGTATTTCAGTTTAGTTTAGTTCTATAAACTACTATTTGGCCAAAGATATACTGGTCTGTATATATTGACTATACTATATGAGAGTATAATCCAGAATATGAAACATTTTTCACAGTTTACATTTTTAACTGTTATATTAAGAAAATATGTTGACAATGCTGTTTTGTGTACTTCAAATCAAGACAGTTAAATATACAATACATAAAATAATTCATCAGGTTTGATGCTCTATGCAAGGAACTAGCTCTTAAAAATATTTGGCTTAACTTTAGATCTGTGGGACTTTGTAGCATAAAATTTATCTTATGTAATATTTCTCCACTTTTCACAATACCTATAGGGACACTGTGGTTTTTGTTGTGATTAAATATATTTCTAATTCTTTAAAATGTTCTAATTTTAATGTAAACATTGACTTCAAATATTACAGCTTCATTAGTTAAAATTTGAGCTGTAGTGGTTCATCCTTTCTTCTCACAAACTCTCCCCCTTATTTCAGATGTCCCTTCCTTGGCTTCCAGTTGTTTTGTCTGGCCAATGCTCACAACTCATCTGCTCTGCCTCTGCACTCCCTGCCATCACTTGTCACCAGTCCTAGTTTCCCCATTCAGCCATCCCTAGCAATTGCATAGGGCTGTATGTGCCATTTGGACAAAAGTCTGTGAACATGGGACTTCATGCTTCATTATTTCCTGAGCAGTTTCTTTGGTGGAAACCAGCTTGCTCCTCAGGAAAACCCAGCAGTGGAGGCAGCTGGATGGGTGACTCTGGGGACCTGGGACTTCCTTTATTCACTTCCCCTGGTCCCTGATCTCAGAACCACCTTTTGGATCCAGTCTGCTGGTAGAACTGAGAGTATTTGCTTAATACTATTCCATTACCAAAAGCAGTGTGAAAGTAGCAGAGAAGAAAACTACTTCCAATATCAGGAATCTGGTTATGATTTACATAGTCAGTTTAAGCACTTACAAGCAATTAACTCCAGTTTATTTGATAAAATAACCTTTTCAAATTATTATGTCAGATGCTTAATAGACAGTTGGACTTCTGATGGGTGAAGAGTGGCTGCTGACATGAATACATTAAATAATTTCCCTTGAGCTAGGCATGATCTGGGTAAATAACTCACTCCCCCCCAAGATAGAGCCTGCCTCACTAGTGAAAATAACAAGGATTTCATAGGAGCCATTTAAAAAAAGTTCATTCCTTAATCTAGCAGAAAACACAAATTATATCCATTCTCTTTGAATTTTCAGGTTTTTGGTCATAACAGAGGTGCAGAAAAATAGATGAAGCCTTTAGACTTAAGATGGAGAAATAGTATTTTATGGCTTTTGAACAGCAAGTTATCAAGAGGATGTGACATTTTTCTCATCCCAGTTACAGTGATAAGTCCACGAGTCAAAGCTGTTTCTGCCATTAATGTTCCAAATGGAATCATGGATAAAAATATATATATATGTAGCAGACTGCTCAGCAGAAAATAATCCAGCTGGTTTTGATTACCTTTGTTAAAACATGCTTTTTCTCTGGAAACATGACTGGTAATATCTTAGCAAAACTTTCATGACTTATATGAAGTTTGATTTTTTTCAGAATGCCTTAACGTGGCTAAAATTTTATGCTGGCACGCAGAGTTCTCATTTAAAGGCCGCGCAATTTTGTTAAATGTTTGGCAAAACTTCCTGAGGTTAGGCTTGTTTCTATCCAGAGCTCTGCAAGACACTGGATCTCTGCAGGTTCGAAAAATCTACAAGTCTTGCCATAAATATTTTCACAATCAGCCAAGCAATAGCAAGCAGAACACTTGTGATGGCGAAAGCAGGAAATTACCAGAAAAGGAGACATGAGAAGTTAAAATCACAGAAGAGTTGAAACAGAGCACCCAGAACCACCCAGTGGATGCAGAGGAACTGAACTGCAAAAGTGAAAGAGTGAAACCATGGAGAATGTGGACAGACCAGCCTCTTCCCATTCAACAGTTTTTATCTACCATGTACTCAATATTAGCAACCTTTCCTCAAGGCTCACTGTAAAGATAAAGGAACACAGTAACTGATATGTTAGACCTTTTCATCTGATTACACCTTTTTTTTTTTTTTTTTTTTTTTTTTTTTTTTTTTTTTTTTTTTTTTTTTTTTTTTTTTCTTTTTTTTTGAGAGCAGTCAGGACCAGAAAAGTAAATGGAAGGTGAGAGAAAAGCAGACTCTTGCAATAAACTGTGTCTTCCTAAGATGCATACTTTCCCAATCCCCTTTCAAACATTCATTCAGGATTGTTTTTGTTACCTACATGCATCTACGATTCAGACTTGAAATCTTACAAACTTCAGGATTTAGATCCGATATGTGTTAAATTACAACATTTTCCAAATATATTATTTTGCTCTGTATTACATTTGTCTGACCTATATGATTAAGAGACACCATGGAGTCAAAGAGCCTCCATGGAGTAAAAGCAAAAAAGAAGGAAAGGGGTGCTGTGCTTTGCATTGCTGGTGACCATCTTATGTTCAAAGCCAAACTTGTATTCTCCTAAAGTGGACCTCCTTCCAAAAATGTTTGCTTCCATTCACTGTATTACCTGTAATCATTAGTTAGCCCTATGATTTTAATTTCTTTTGTTCTTGTATTTTTCAAAAAATTAAATACTAGAGGAACGGTTCACTTTGATTGCCATTCATTATTTCTTACTTCTGTTCTAGGCTGAACTCAGGTTGGCAGTACTTAAGAATAGGGAAATGCTGAACTGGTTTTGAGGAAAGAGTCTAAATGAAAGCTGTTTAACCACCTGGAATGCCCTCCTTCAATGTCTAGACATTTTGCTAAAATTTTAATTTAATTTCTGCTTCTCTGTCTGAAGAATCTGAGTCTGGTTTATTGTGGTGCTTATTCTGGGACACACAAAGATATTGGCACTTCAAAGAGATATGGCAGTTGGCACTCAGAGAATCTGAACAGAAGTGAAACATACTCCCTGCCTTACATTTTTTTTTTTGCTTTTCTGTACTAAAAATAACAATATGGAGAGTTTTTTTGAGAGGCCAGTAAGACCACTTTGTAGACAGCATAGGATGTGACTAGCATCTGAAAGAATTCAGCAAAATTTGCTTTAATCCCTGCATCACACCAGGACACCCTGTTGTATATATATCAGCAAAGATTTGTGTGGAAGATTTCGGACCTCTGCATTAGGTACAAGACAACTCCCAGACAGATTAGATTTGTACATGTACCTATGTATCACTTTTCAATACCAACAATAAGACAGCAAAGACAGTTACATAATTTTAAAACATATTCAGTTATGGAGCACTGATGACCTTTTTAAGATGGCAACTAAATTCCATCCTTCAAACATGCATACCTAAAACTTGGAAGATTTTTCACAGTGTGCTTGTGTCAGCTCCTTTACACTGGCAGATGTCCATTCTGCCAAATCAGAACAGCCTGTAAAACTAGGGTCTGAGATTTCAAGTTGGAGTAATGAGTTTCTTTCCAAAAAATAACACTGATAGAAAAAAATGTTTATTGCTTATCTTAAAAAAAAAAACAACAAACAAACAACTGCTTTATTTAACAACAACTTTGTCTTCCCTAAAGATTTGTTGTTGTTCTTTCTTGGTATTTTTTTTTCTCCTATGCTACTGAAAACCACTGTATAGGTGGCTGGAGATTTAAAAAGCTTCATAGTCTAACTTCATCCCTTACCACTTCTAAATGATTCACAATGTGTGGCTATCCCAGACCCTTCTGTGTGTTTATCTGGAAAGACTTCATTGAAAATTAACCCTGCATCATGATATTTTTCATTATGATGATGGTCATGTAAACAGGCCATATTCAAGATCAATCCTAAGCCACTGTGCATACCAGGCAAGGATCTGGGTCTTTTTGGACAGTTCTTTTGTGTAGCTGTTCTGAACCTTTTGCAGCTACTTTTCACTGTCAGTACTACTCAGGACTGCAAAGGCTTCAATTTACTGTCCCCTTGTTATATACAAGTAAGGAAAGGGCAAGGAGGTAAAGGGCACCTATCAATATTAGCATCCTTAAGGGAATAACTTTGGATTTCATTATACTTACTAATGTGTTACCACCATCATGGTATATTGATTATAGTTCTCCTTGGTCAGTAGTAATTAGATGACATTTTTTGGTGTATGCTTGTATAAACCTTAGTTTATAACTGATAAGGTATTTATTGATTATTAATCAGACACAAACAGACAGTATGAAAATTAATGTGAATCACTACTTTATATATTCAGACAACATTTTGGCTCTGTGCACACAATTCCAGAGGGTTGTGTTCAGCAGCATACACATATGGACACTACACAACATGCAGTCACCTGTTTCTACCTTTGTTTTCATATCAGGAAATATATTTATTCAACAGAACTTCAAAATCTTGCAACATACACTGTATGTCGGCAGTCCCATGGAGGACACTCAAGCTAATAGCAGGTTGAGACCACAGCTTGCCTGTGTCAAGTAGTGATTTCCTGAGGCAGGGACCTAACAACCCATTTAAAGGGAGGCTAAGGGCATCCTGCAGTCCCATAATGATAATATGGTTAATGGCACAACAAAGCACAAAATACCTTACTGCTGGGGCAGCCAGTAATTAAGGGCGCTGAACTAATGACAGCCTTAGGCTGTCTGTAAATCCTATGAATTGTTTCAGCATGAACTGCATAGACCAAATTTAGGCATCCAAACCACAGCATTTTTGAGTTAAAAACCTTAATCTGCCCCGCTCTGCCAGTGTAACAATCTTTACAGGAATCCTTTCTCACCTCTTCCTTCACTGGAGCATGACTAGAATTTAAGGTACATACTAAAGAGCCTCTGAGGCTCCAGCCGGCAGAGGGCATGGATGATGCATGCAGACACCAGTGGGTACATCAGCAGACTCACTGAAAAGTTCAACACAGTCTTTCTGTCCCCTTCAGTAACACAGCTGCTTGACTCTGGCTTACAAACAGAAAAGAGGACTAGTCACTCCCTAACATAGTGCCTCAACAGCAGAAAAGATGTGCGATTTATTCTACTCTTTTTTTTTTTTTTTTCCCAAACATCTGGTATATCAGGACAAACGTGAAAATACAAGTGAGATATTACCTCTTCTCACGCTCTCCTCTCT